CGACACTGGAAGACAGAAGAGTAAGGGGGGACATGATCACAACCTACAAAATCCTCAGGGGAATCGACCGGGTAAACAAGGACGAACTTTTCAACACTGGTGGGACGCGAACAAGGGGACACAGGTGGAAGCTGAGTACCCAAATGAGCCACAGAGACGTTAGAAAGAACTTTTTCAGTGTCAGAGTAGTTAGCAAATGGAATGCATTAGGAAGTGATGTGGTGGAGGCTGACTCCATTCACAGTTTCAAATGTAGATATGATAGAGCCCAATAGGCTCAGGAATCTGTACACCAGTTGATTGACGGTTGAGAGGCGGGACCAAAGAGCCAGAGCTCAACCCCCGCAAGCACAATTAGGTAAGTACAATTAGGTAAGTACACACACACATACACACACACATACACACACACACACACACACACACACACACACACACACACACACACACACACACACACACACACACACACACACACAGCAGAGTAGTGAACAAATAGAATGCACTATGTAGAATAAGGTGGTGGCAGCAGATTCAATACACAACTTCTAATGTAGCTATGAAAAAACCTAATGTGCTTGAAGACCTGTACACCAATAGACTGAATGATGACAATCGGGACCAGAGAGCTGAAGCTCATCCTCCACAAGCACAACCAGGTAAAAATTATATGAAAAGTGCACACGAGATCAATAAAGGAATATATAAAAATGCCATTGATAAAAGCAGGGTTAGACAGCTCCCAGCCAGCAAATGAAATACCTGAGCTTCCTCTGGCGTTCCTTCGTCGACGCCACGGGGCCCGCAGCTCCGTGCCCTGCCCACCGACACACAGGTGCTTACAGTGGCCTAGACAGGTGCTCACGAGGGAGGCCTAGACAGGTGCTCAAGAGGGCCTAGACAAGTTTACACTGAACCTAAACACGGTACACGGTACCTAACCTTGAGGTTACCTTGAGGTGCTTCCGGGGCTTAGCGTCCCCGCGGCCCGGTCGTCGACCAGGCCTCCTGGGGTACCCAACCATTGGGTACCCAACAAGAATCGTGTAGAACCAAATGCAGAGGTGCAGGCCTGAACAGGTTAAGCACAGAGCAGACACAGGTGTACAGCAGAAGCACAGCTACACACTCACAATACAAGGAATTGCCTGGCAACAAACAAGAGACTTGAATCTACAAACCTAAAATGAGAACACTGCGACACAGAAACGCAGATCAAACATCCATGAACAGATTTAGATATAAAAAAACAAAAACTCACACACGTGATATGCTTGAGAATGTAAGAATGCCAGTTATCCCTGAATGACATTGTATTATTTATACAATACTTTCAAGAAGCTGGTTTACATCAATCGCTGTCGACATTCACTTACTGCCAAGCCTCAGTCTTGGTGGAACACGGCACGTCACGCGGCTCTGACCTTTATTCTCAGTCACATCTAACGCAAGTTTATATTTACCAAACAACTATCGCTTATTGCTGGGCAAATATAGTTTTCACTGTCTATATTTACAACACCAAGGCGGTTATTTTCCGACACAGGTGACTCGTCAAAACACGACTCGAGCGTTCGGAACTTCTCATTGTTATGTTTTAAATATGATTATTTTAAAACAAAATAGCAGGGCAAGAAATGCAGCAAAATATTATATTTTTTTCCATTTTGACCGGCTGTACAAACTTCATTTATATTAGGGACATTAATTATAGGAGAATTCGTTACCTGTTGACATTGTGGTGAGGTTACCTGGTGAGGTTACCTGGTGAGGTTACCTGGTTAAGTTTATGGGCTTGCTGACCAAAGGACCGCTACAGCACCACGGAATACTCGATTGTATGGAGCTTCCCGCTCTCTCTCTCTCTGGCGGCAACGAATCTATGATGTCTCTCTCGCTGTGTGTGTATGTGTGCTCACCTAGTTGTGCTTGCGGGGGATGAGCTCTGGCTCTTTGGTCCCGCCTCTCAACTGTCAATCAACCGGTGTACAGATTCCTGAGCCTACTCGGCTTTATCATATCGACATTTGAGACTGTGTATGGAGACAGCCTCCACCACATCACTGCCTAATGCATTTCACCTATTAACTACTCTGACACTGAAAAGGTTCTTTCTAGCGTCCCTGTGGCTCATTTGGGTACTTAGTTTCCACCTGTGTTTCACTTGTTCGCGTACCACCTGTGTTAAACAGTTTATCCTTATCAACCCTGTCAATTCCTCCTAGAATTTTGTAGGTGGTGATCGTGTCTCGCCTTACTCTTCTGTCTTCCAGTGTAGTGAGGTGCAGTTTCCTCAACCTTTCCTCGTAACTCATACCTATTAGTTCTGGGACTAGTCTAGTGGCATACCTCTGAACTTTTTCCAGGTTCGTCTTGTGCTTGACAAGGTACGGGCTCCATGCTAGGGCCGCATACTCCAGCATTGGTTTTACATATGCGGTATACAAGGTTCTGAACGATTCCTTACACAGGTTCCTGGAGGCTGTTCTGATGTTAGCCAGCCTCGCATATGCCGCAGATGTTATTCTCTTTGTGTGGACTTCAGGAGATAAGTTTGGTGTGATGTCAACTCCTAGATTTTCTCTCTGTCCGTTTCATGAAGTACTTCATCTCCTATTCGATATCCTGTGTCTGGCCTCCTGTTTCCACCGCCTAGTTTCATTACCTTGCATTTACTATAGTTGAACTTTAGTAGCCATTTGTCAGCCCATTCATTTAGTCTGTCTAGATCATCTTGTAGCCTCCTACTATCTTCCTCTGTTTTAATCCTCCTCATAATTTTTGCAACATCAGCAAACAGTGAGAGGAACGATTCTATACCATCTGGGAGATCATTTACATATATCAGAAACAGTATAGGTCCAAGGACTGAACCCTGCGGGACTCCACTGGTGACGTCTCGCCAATCTGAGACCTCACCCCTCACAGTGACTCGTTGTCTCCTGTTGCTTAGGTACTCCCTTATCCAATGGAGTACCTTCCCTTTCACTCCAGCCTGCATCTCCAGCCTTTTCGCTAGCCTCTTGTGTGGTACTGTGTCAAAGGCTTTCTAGCAATCCAAAATATACAGTCTGCCCACCCCTCTCTTTCTGTGTGTGTGTGTGTGTGTGTGTGTGTGTGTGTGTGTGTGTGTGTGTGTGTGTGTGTGTGTGTGTGTGTGTGTGTGTGTGTGTGTGTGTGTGTGTTCGTTCGTCCATAATTTCTACCACCATCTACGATAATGTTTACCTTTTTTGCATATATAAATGCACAGACAGGTACATACACACCGTATATTTACATATACGCGATCACGCAAAATTTAGAAACAACTCACACAGGAGGGACTGTCAGCACCTCACACAGGAGGGACTGTCAGCACCACACACAGGAGGGACTGTCAGCACCACACACAGGAGGGACTGTCAGCACCACACACAGGAGGGACTGTCAGCACCACACACAGGAGGGACTGTCAGCACCACACACAGGAGGAACTGTCAGCACCTCACACAGGAGGGACTGTCAGCACCTCACACAGGAGGGACTGTCAGCACCTCACACAGGAGGGGACTGTCAGCACCTCACACAGGAGGGACTGTCAGCACCACACACAGGAGGGACTGTCAGCACCTCACACAGGAGGGGACTGTCAGCACCTCACACAGGAGGGACTGTCAGCACCACACACAGGAGGAACTGTCAGCACCACACACAGGAGGGACTGTCAGCACCTCACACAGGAGGAACTGTCAGCACCTCACACAGGAGGGACTGTCAGCACCTCACACAGGAGGAACTGTCAGCACCACACACAGGAGGAACTGTCAGCACCTCACACAGGAGGGACTGTCAGCACCTCACACAGGAGGGACTGTCAGCACCTCACACAGGAGGGACTGTCAGCACCTCACACAGGAGGGACTGTCAGCACCACACACAGGAGGGACTGTCAGCACCTCACACAGGAGGGACTGTCAGCACCTCACACAGGAGGAACTGTCAGCACCACACACAGGAGGGACTGTCAGCACCTCACACAGGAGGGACTGTCAGCACCTCACACAGGAGGGACTGTCAGCACCTCACACAGGAGGGCACTGTCAGCACCACACACAGGAGGGACTGTCAGCACCACACACAGGAGGGACTGTCAGCACCACACACAGGAGGGACTGTCAGCACCTCACACAGGAGGGACTGTCAGCACCTCACACAGGAGGGACTGTCAGCACCACACACAGGAGGGACTGTCAGCACCTCACACAGGAGGGACTGTCAGCACCTCACACAGGAGGGACTGTCAGCACCACACACAGGAGGGGACTGTCAGCACCTCACACAAGAGGGACTGTCAGCACCACACACAGGAGGGGACTGTCAGCACCTCACACAGGAGGGACTGTCAGCACCTCACACAGGAGGGACTGTCAGCACCTCACACAAGAGGGACTCAGCTCTTCCCTAACCCTCTGAGAGCACATATTTACTAACACTCATTACTTGCTCTGTGTCAGAGCAATGTGCACAGTTTGTGTACATATTCTATAGCTGCACAATACTTGTGTACTCACTTGTGTACACGTTCTCCACCCGTGTGTACAGTGACTTATGCAATTGCGAACATGTTGTCCAGCTGAACATTGCTGAAGTATACAAACGTTCGTGAGTTCGGAAATGCACGTCAGAAAATGTACTTGTACGAACATATTCTCGAGTGAGGATGCACACATCTGACTACTGCTGACCCGCACCCGCACACGCACACGCCAGCCTAGTCAATCCTACACTGCAGTGCGGCGCTTAAGATGAGCAGGCCTGGCGTGTGTTTACGGAGGGCCCAACAGCGTACGCTTTACGCCAGTTCTCGTTCAGCTTGAACCGCTGAGGAGCAGCTCTCTCCCTCCCGTGGTTCCTGGAGGGCGGAGGAAGAGGAAGGGGAGCAGTGGCCAGGGGCCATCAACACTCAGGGACACGAGCCAGGGGCCAGGGACATGAGCCAGGGGCCAGGAAAGACGCACCACACACTACAACACAGCGCCTGGCGGATGACAACCGCTCAGTCAGGCCACCCGCGTACGACTGAGCTCTCACAGGCTCTCCCTGTCCCTCTCTCTCTCCCTCTCCCTCTCTCTCCCTCTCTCTCTCTCTCTCTCCCTCCGCAGGGCTTCTCCCACGCCTGCTCTATTTCCTGCCCAATTCTGCTTTCCACACTTGTATGTTTTCTTGGTTGGCGTGATTGCCTATTGGTGGTTAACCAATTGGGGTTAAGGAAGCATAGGAATCTGCGCGTGGTGGTCCGCCTGCTTTATTTTACACAGATTTATTGTAACTTTCCAGTCGTGGTTCACTCTGCCACCTGCTGGAGCCCTGTGGTGGGCTCCACGCCATACTTGTTGACTGACACCTACCCTGTTGACACACACATGACACCTGTTGACTGACACCTACCCTGTTGACACACACATGACACCTGTTGACTGACACCTACCCTGTTGACACACACATGACACCTGTTGACTGACACCTACCTCTCATCCTCCCCCACCACTTCTTTCATTTTTCTTAAACTGTTCCTCTTCTCTCTTTCCTTACACCACTCCTCCTCCTCCCTCCATTCTCTCACATCGTTTACTCTTGTTATTCTCTTGTATTACCTTCTTGACTTATTTCCCTCTTTCATAACTCCATCCTTCCCTTCCCTTCCTAATTCCTTGCCTCCCTCTTCGTTCTCTGCATTCTTCCCATCTTTTTCTCTCATATGTTTAGGAGGGAGAGAGAGAGAGAGAGAGAGAGAGAGAGAGAGAGAGAGAGAGAGAGAGAGAGAGAGAGAGAGAGAGAGAGAGAGAGAGAGAGAGAGAGAGAGAGAGAGAGAGACAGAGAAGGAGAGAGACAGAGAAGGAGAGAGACAGAGAGGGAGAGACAGAGGGAGGGAGAGAGACAGAGAGGGAGAGATAGAGAGGAGAGACAGACAGACAGACAGACAGACAGACAGACAGAGATACAAACACACAATCCGGCATGTGCCCGTCTCGTCCTCTGTTGACCCGTGCAATCATTTTAATACTGATTTATGTAATGGCCATTTAACCAGTTGGCCCCATCCTGGCGGTGGTCGTGAGGAACGTAGCTACTATGCTTAGGATGGCAGCCGCTGTGGTGGTGGTGGCGGTGAGGATGGCAGCCGCTGTGGTGGTGGTGGCGGTGAGGATGGCAGCCGCTGTGGTGGTGGTGGCGGTGAGGATGGCAGCCGCTGTGGTGGTGGTGGCGGTGAGGATGGCAGCCGCTGTGGTGGTGGTGGTGGTGAGGATGGCAGCCGCTGTGGCTGTGGTGAGGACTGTTGTGAGATCTGTCCCAAAGGCCGCTGTGAGGAATACACTGACCACCCAAGTCAGTGGTGCCGACCACTATATCCTGAAGCTCTGAGGATAGGCAGGATCTACCTATCCTGCCCTTACCTCACCCGCCTCTTCACCTCACAGTGTCACTGTATTTCTGCTCTCCATTCTAAGTTTCCTCTGGATTATTCCACCCTTCCTATCTCTCCTCTTTCTCCTCTGATCAAGTTTCTGCTTCGCTTCTTCCCACAAGTAAAGTCGGCTTAAAAGCTTTTATTGGAGACATTAAGTACCGTGAGAGCGTGTGATCAAGATGGCGTCCTTCCTCGTGCTGGAGGGGTCCGTCTGTGCCCAGGGGCCAGATTTACGAATCAGTTACGCAAGCACTGACGAACCTGTACATCTTTTCTCAATCTTTGGCGGCTTTGTTTACAATTATTAAACAGTTAATGAGCTTCGAAGCACCAGGAGGCTCTTTATAACAATAACAACCGTTGATTGGGAAGTTTTCATGCTCGTAAACTGTTTAATAAATGTAACCAAAGCCGTCGTAGATTGAGGAAAGATGTACACGTTCGTAAGTACTTGCGTAACTGCTTCGTGAATCTGGCCCATCATGCCTTTATTTTGACTGATCCGCTTCCTCACAACTTAGTTCCTTCATTGTTGGTCTCACTGGTGGCCCTGCCTGACTCACATAATTTGATCCTTGTGAATCTTGTGACAATCACCCGAATGTTGTCACTTGCATCTCCAGACACGATCAAAGTCTTCCTTACGCTTGACACTGAACGCGAGGAATACTTTGAGGAACCTCCACACAGTTCCTCGACTCGTGGAGTTCATAGAGAGTATCTGTGCAGTGCTGCTGAGGTCCAGGTTAGTGAGCCTCCTATCATAACTCACACTATATTCCAGTCTCGCTTCATACAGGTCGGCGTTCAATCCCCGACCGTCCAAGTGGTTCCTTCCCCCCACCCCCCTCCCCATCCCAAATCCTTATCCTGACCCCGTCCCAGTGCTATATAGTCGTAATGGGTGGTTATAAATAGGAGCTGCCGCGTATGAGGCCAATAGGCCTTCTGCAGTTACCATTATTCTTACGTTCTTAATGGCTCGGCGCTTTCCCTTGATAATTCCCTGCCTCAGGGAGGCTGTACAGGTGAGGGGCTCCAGAGATGTTTACCTGAGCCGTGAGGTGTGTCGGAGGGTGTAATTAGATGGTCGATCAATTGGGAGATTGAGATGAATCTGATGCGAGATTTGAGACCAATTATGCCTATCGACTGAGCAATAATGCGAGAATTACACGATGAAATCACAATAGCCCCAAGTATATATATTAGAAAATCTTTGGAGCAGGACGGGGGGATCGAACCTGTGTCCTGGAACTCCCGGACGCGCGTCCGAGGGTTATCAAGCAGCCCATCTTAAGACAAGGGATATGACGTCATCAGTTCGCTTCAGAAACTCGTATTTTCGTGATATTCGTCCAATTGTTTTTTAATCTGAGTCGAATCAAACTTGATTTGTGGTGAGAAAAGCTGACACACTTGTGAGCGCATTGTTCAAATGTCAAAGGCACAGCAAGCCTTTGACTAGTGTCATATCTGACCTTTTGAGGAAAATTTGAAGAAACCGATTATTTCTTTAACGTGTGTGTGTGTGTGTGTGTGTGTGTGTGTGTGTGTGTGTGTGTGTGTGTGTGTGTGTGTGTGTGTGTGTGTGTGTGTGTGTGTGTGTGTGTGTGTGTGTGAGCATTAGGGTGAGCGTGCATACTGATATTCACATATTTGCGCCTACAGGCCTGAGCGTTCCAAACACCGGAAGTCTAATATAAGGACTCCCGACTTATATATATCATATCAATTAGGCCAACTACTGACCATCCCCGGGATGCAACCCACAGCAGCTGTCTAACTCTGAAATATCTATTTACTGCATGGTGAACAGAGGCAGCAGGCAGAAAAGAAACGTTGCCCAAATGCTTTTATCCTGCCGATACAATCAAACAATCATCAGTTGTAAGCGGAAGACTCAGCCTACTGCGCCACAGAACCCTCTGTGTTTTTAAGTACTTACCTATTTGTACCTGCAGGATCGAGCCGTTAGCTCTTGGGCTCTGCATTTCTACCTGTATGTAGTCTAAAGTTCCAGGTTTAATACAGGTGCAGTGAATGCGGTTCTCCAGTGTCTCTAAGCACCTGTAGTGATCTACGTGTTCTACAAGTAAGCAAAGAGTGAGATCAGGTAATCTGGCCAATATGACTATATGAGTCAGTAGTTGAAAGTTGGACAAAACAGTAAAGGACAAAGTATCGGTGCTGGTCACAAAGAGTAAGAACTACTCGGCAATATTGAACGGGGATATTTTTGTCCAGGAAAAGTTCAGAATTTTAAAGAGAAGAGTTTGTTTTATTCCAAACACAGATGAGAGTGTAGTTAAGAGGCACCGGGCTGGCCCGGGAGGAGAAACACCAGCGGGTAAGTCTACCGAAGACGTTTCATTAATTATTTAACACGACTATTAGTATCGGGGCCGTGTGTTCTGGAGAGGTCAGCCAGCACGCAGGCCACCGTGCCTTGAGATGTCCTCTAGTCCGGACACTACGGTGGCCAACCTGACGGGGGCCGCTGACACTGCTCCAGGCGGCGGTAAGCGATGACCTACGGGGTCGGGGCAGCGGGTCCTGCCAGAAGGGGTGGGTAACAGGTAGGTACAGAGGTACAGAGGTGTAAGACCGGTTGTGAGCTTCTCTACACCTCAAACAATCGTCTGGTACACCGTAGAGGACCTCACTGGTGCCAACACCACAGCCACAGGGCCGGGCATGTGACCCACAGTCTCACCGGACACCCCACACATACTCCCACCATATATAACTTACACTTTATCTTTTCTGCTTTAAGTATGACGCGGAGCCTCAAGCATAAATAGACCCTGTGGGAAGAGTGCAGCCCCACCCCGACGCCGCCCCCCACACTCAGCCCACTCCCCACCCCGACGCCGCCCCCCACCCTCAGCCCACTCCCCACCCCGACGCCGCCCCCCACCACCATGGCGTCTCAGAGTCTGTACTGTACTGTACCAATAAACCAGAGTCTGCGGAGAGACTGCTGGACAATAGAGCAGTCTTAGAACTATATGCTGGACCAATGTAAAGCAGATTCTCTGGATTCTGCTGGACAATAAAGCTAAGTTTCAGGACTGTGCTGGCCCAATAGAGCAGTCTCAGGGATGCTGTCGACCAATATAGCAGTCTGAAGGTTTTTTTTTTTAGTCAGAAGGCTGTGGTAGACCAATAGTGTACAGTCTGAGGACCGTCCTGGACCAATAGTGTACAGTCTGAGGACCGTCCTGGACCAATAGTGTACAGTCTGAGGACCGTCCTGGACCAATAGTGTACAGTCTGAGGACCGTCCTGGACCAATAGTATACAGTCTGAGGACCGTGCTGGACCAATAGTATACAGTCTGAGGACCGTCCTGGACCAATAGTATACAGTCTGAGGACCGTGCTGGACCAATAGTATACAGTCTGAGGACCGTGCTGGACCAATAGTGTACAGTCTGAGAACCGTGCTGGACCAATAGTGTACAGTCTAAGGACCATGCTGGACCAATAGTGTACAGTCTGAGGACCGTGCTGGACCAATAGTGTACAGTCTGAGGACCATGCTGGACCAATAGTGTACAGTCTGAGGACCATGCTGGACCAATAGTGTACAGTCTGAGGAC